TACTGCGAAGATCGCCCGGTCACCTACGCAGGCTCGAACCCGCGTCCTCGGATCGCAAGGCAGCCTTGTGATCCTCCAGCTTATGGACCGGACCAAAGGCTAAGGGACGGTATAATAGGAATGGGGGAAGTGTTTTGTACGCCATCTAAAAGAAAGGTCAGGATTATTACCAGTAGGATGAGCATCGATGTGAAAGATCCCAAAGTGGGGAGGCCGACTATGATAGCGCACATCCAGTCGCAGTGAAAATGTAAAGCAATAGGGGCATCATCAGACTTCGGAACAGGAGATACCCTCCGTGTTATGGTAACTATTATTATCGTCTGTTTCGCATGCGAGATAATAAAGCAGAAGCGGACAATCAGCGCCAGCGTATTAGAGCACGTAGAGTAGTGAGTAGGCCATCTGGGAAACCTAAATTGTTTCGGCCCTTGCATTCGTGCGTTAAGGTGTAAACCCATTCTTGATCTGACGCCGTCGACAATACTGATTCTCCTTGCTGCTACTGACTTCGCAACTGCTGCTGTCCACGCATGTAGCTCGCCCATCAAAGTAAAAGTTCCATTTCAGTGGTTATTTTTATGTCCGCACACTGAGTTAGATGGGTCCGCTTTCCACTCGCTCGGCTTTGGTGCGCGCTGCATCTCCGAAACACGTACAAAAGATAAGAGTCGTGACGTATCTTCAGGTCCCTGCATCCGAATATGCTGATAATAACTACACAATTCGCATCCCTGGCGATACTGGATCAATCGCTCAAGATAATTACGGTGTCGGTATCGCCCTCAGCAAGCATGTTGAAGGTAAACTACTCGATTGAATACCAGTGTGCAGTTAGACTTCGAAGCAAAGATTGGGTTAGTAAGTATCGAATGAAGACTATGTGCATTAAAGACAAATGCTGTCACCAGCCCTCATTTCTTCTCCACAAGGTGCAATACTGACAGTGATAGGTACTGGTGACATGAATGCACAAGTGGGTCATCTTTCGGACTCTGGAGTCGATCCATGCCAGACAATCACGATAGATTCCCGCAACTATGTATCGATCGTAATCTTTATATCAGCAGCACTGCTTTCCAGTAAGATTGTTTCCATCGGGTCACTTGACGCCCAACGAACTTCTCTGTTACTTGGAATCAGACTGACCATATCACCATCAGCCACAGATGGCGCACACCAGTCCAGGACTGTCGGTCAAGTTCGAACACGTGTCTATCTCTGCTCACCAGAGCACGCACGACAGGTGCCCACTCTTTCCGCATCAAAGAAGCGGCTAACTTCTAAGCTTCTCATTTGTAACCTAAGCCCGCAGTCCACAGTCAACAACATCGTGACGAATTGGCCCAACAATTGCCAATGGTGAATGAAGTTGGTGAGCCGAAAGATGGCTGAAATCCTCTCAAATGTGTCATAAAGAATGACATTGATGCCAGTTGTTTACCCAAAGTAAGACGTTCGAACTCGGTAAGAATCGTGGAAGCATCAGTCAGACTGGTTAAAGCACGCAAACAGGCTCAAATTGGGATTTTAAAAATTTTAAAATTGACAGCGGACTTTGGTAGGTTGCAAAGACCCGTGAGATATGGCGACAGGCGAGTGCTATTCCAACTCATCCGGAACACAGGTTTAAGAGAACCCCCAGTTAGTGGGACAATGGCTAAAGAAGATAGATGACTTATTTTCAGCCGCGTCGACTAGACCGTTGTGTAGAATATGTTGAACAGCAGTATAGTAAGCCCGCTGCATCACCCCTGTTTGCTGAATCACCTAACAGCAAGTGAGAAGTTGACGTCACATCTCCTAATTTGGAAGAGATTCGACCAAAAATTGCTGTGTTGAAACGTAACAAGGCTCCTGGACCCAACTACCTTCCTCCACTTTTGTGAGATAACTCTTCGCAAATTGCACTTGCTGCCTTATGTAACAAGATTTTTGAAGCGTTTTCACGCTGGTGACTGCTTATCTTCAAGAAGAGTCGGCGTACTTTGTGTGAAAAGCACTAGGGCATTAACCTTCTTTCCACCGCTTCCAAACTTCTCAAGTGCATCATCCGATGAATCACTGTCCGCGTGAGAGCCGAATCAGTGAAAGTCAAGATAGCTGCTGCTCTGATCTTGGTTGCATCGACCACTTATTAACTTATCGATAAATTTTAGAGCACCAACACTTATGGACGACAGACTATGGTGGTTTCTTAAGACATGAAATTCGCCTTCCATTCTATTGATTGCGGCAGCTTGTAGCAGTCACTAACAGTGAAAGGCTTGGCTGGGAAATTTCTTTCCATTCAGTTGTGTCTCTACTGTGACTGTCGAGACCAGTAAGGATCTACTGCAAGCTTTCTCCTGAGTTCCCCACGACAAGCGGGGTTCGCCAGGGTTGTCCTATATCCGATTTTCCACTTTGTGATCAAAACGAGCAAAAATGACGGTGCTTTTAGGCTTCTCCGGGGTGGAAGTTCCGTTAAGTGACCGGCTAACAAACCCTGAGTGTGCGCGCGGCATAGGTCACCTCGGATCTGACACAATGCAACCACAACTGAGCAGACTGACATGCAGCGCTGCGCGTCGCAGTTTTAAAGCGCAAGGTACTGTTGCAGGGCTTGACCGATACATCGCCGGTTCTATCGAACGCCCAGTAACCACTGGAATCGGTAGATCAGTTCACTTACCATGGTAACTGTGTCACCTCTGATGATCACATCACTGAGGAAGTTACTTTGCGTATCCTCAAGATCCGTAGGAATTTTCAGAGGCTCGTTTTCTATGGCGACGGTGGGATATCAGCCTGTCAATGAAAGGTAGGGTGTATAACGCTGCGATAAGGTCAGTTCGCAGTGAATGCATTAAACGCTTGGCCATGTTTGACCACTGGTGCTTGCGGATTATTGCTCACCCGAACACCGTGTGAGTTATGCTCAGGTCAGGTAGTCGGTTTTTGGCAGGAAACGCTCTGGTTCCTCACTAAGGTGTCGGCGGAAGTTCAACCTCATATGTTGGTTAAGTTATGTCCTCCGCATGCCCGTCGACCAGCTATCTCATCGGTGTGCATTATACGACATCGCTGCACCAAATTGGGCGAAAACGCGAAATGGCTGATCGACGATGTGGCACAAGAGCATGAAAAACTGATTGAAATGCATGGTCACGTTGGTGTATGCCATCTTCTTGGATGGGGCCCCAGTAGGTGGAGACACTATCAGACAAGGCGCAGTCATCAGCGTTCCTACATGCGGTTTCTCGCATCTATCTGTTAATCTCCATTCCATCCCGATTGATTTAACGCACTTCTTACTCGATTCAAGCTAATTTGTATTGTTTGTGTTCAACGTCATTTTCTTACCGTTGTTCATTATTACTATGGCAATGTGGGTCGTGGCAACTGGATCCCCCGCATTTCGGCACCCGGATCACAGCTGATCAAATGAACGGAATCGATCTGAGCCAATTTATTTCCTTTCTCTAAGGAATTTGACTCATGGAAGTTACCTCGCTCGAATAGAAACCGTCGGATGTCATGTCATCGTTAAAAGGTTAACAGAAAATGCCACGCTAACAATCACTTGCACTGCACACAACGTGCTTGCTGCTCGAGTTCTGAAGAGCTCCAAGCGGGTATGTGAACAGCAAATATGCGAAAGCAAGGTGAATGTATACCGGAACCGTATTTATCGCATCATTATGATCCAACGAATAATTCAGCCCTATCGAAGTTCCGGATGGTGGACGATTATTGCTTTGTGAAACATGAGCTGTGTTGGCACAGTTTACGGAGCACATCCCCGAAATAGTCTATTAGGAATGTTAGTACCCGAGACTGTGTTAACATAAATCGTAAGTGAACATGCTCCCCGCTACTTTGTGCGTCACATTGGAAAGCTAGGGCAGCGGACACAAAACTCTCCTCACGGAATCGATAACCGGAGTGCATCCTGCGTCAACAGGACAACGTCGTCAGTAATATTGACCCTTATTCCGTTTCCGTTTCTTTTCATGAATACTCTTCTCGTGTGTATCAGCTAGAAAGCACCACAGACTCCTCATTCTATACGGACAGAGAAGTTGGTTAATATTGAGTCTAAGGCAACGTTTTACATAAGTACTTCCACGGTCCTCATTTTGTGTCCGATTAGAGGAAAGGCAACACTCGTTACAAAATGAAATTTCCTGGAAAGTTATGTGTTGCGCCTACGAGATAGGTACGCAGTATAACAGCACTGGTGGTACCATCTAGACTGGTGACGAAATGTTTGGAATCGAACTGATTGGTTCCGTGTACCCTTCAAGAACTAGACACAACAACCTACTACAGTCGTCGTCGCCAAACTAAGGTAAATCGGAAGCGACGTTTGATACTCTGCAAAGTGAAGTTGGAATAAGCTAGACAGGGATGCGGCGGACAGATGGGGCGAGAATTCGTCAAACGAAAAGGAGCAGCCATGGTTAATATGTTAAAGCGGAAAAACTCTGCCTTCGGTCGAGGGAATCAGTAAGGATAAGCGACTGTCTGAGGATAATGGCACACGAAATCGAAGCACATCTGGGATAAGCATATGGAAAGTAGAAAGAGAAATTAACTATCAACGATGATCACAGAGTCAGAAATCATTCCACTGTGTGGTAGAGGAAATTGAACAATCAGTTGATAAGAAATAATATAGGGGCGCGCTGTTTATAAAGAGAAAAAATACTTAAGCCCATGCCTGTTGAGCTGCGTTTGACGGTTCTAAAGAAGCCCAATGAATAGTCAAAAGTCGATGTAAGCGAACGTGTTTTCGATGATTCTTCTTCAGACAGAGTAGATGCCCTGACTTGACCGGCTTGTGGGACGGCGTATAGGTCGATGCACTGATTTAATTAACAATAATTACTGACCTCTTCTTAACAGTCTCCCAGAGTGATTCGATTTGTATGTACTAGCCAGATGAAGAAGAATCGAAAACACGTTCGTTTACATTGACTTTTGATAAACCACATGTGTAAAACGTGCGGACTAACCTGGCAGTAAATTGTTTTGGTGCCCGTTTTGGCCGGTACTCAGGGTGGACCAGGAACAACATATGAGGGAAACCGGTTCCAAAATACGCTCCATCCGCATAGTGATGACGAGTGGATTTGGGAGTGTACACATCTTGACACCGAGGACAATAAATCTTCACCATTGCCTCCCCCGGAACATCTGATAGTCCGATCGGGAGACATGGCTGACTCTCACAATACACCTAAGATGTTTGCAAACAAGAGATGAAACTAGCGAATGAATGGGAGCAATAAAAGTGTGAAACTGATGAATTCGATACCAGAAAAGGTAAGTTGCTACACTACCCAATGATTATCTCACATGTTCATCTAAATAAGTATATCGAAAGCATGCAAGGGACGCTAAGGTAGGCAGTCAACAGGTATACGAGGGGCTTGGGTGATTAGAGTTCATCTGACATTTCAGTGCGGTTCAAAAGGGTGTCTTGGTGAACTCCAATCGGTGCCCTTTGGTATTACGACTCGGAGTCCAATCGGATAGGGATGACGCTCCGCAGGTAACTATGATTGCAGATGGTCAGTTCCTCAGTATATCAAACGTGTGGTTTTCAGGACTATGGTCTACACAGTAACAACAGCAGTATCGCGGCGTCGTACACCGTCTGAGAATGTCAGACTGGCAGCGAAACTGCGAAAGGTTACATAGGTCTTGCTTACATGGACAATAGCTTTTGGTGCAAATCAACAGAATTGATAGACCAATCCACCACCACTTCGGCAACGCATTCCGCCATTTAGAGACGCGGATTCATGCCACCTCCTTCTAACAATGAACACTGGAAATGAACATCGGATGCTAAGGTGTGCAGTGCTCTATTAGTTAACCCTTTGTGTCCTAGCGGTATTTATAAGTACCACTTAGTTTAAATTGTAATATTGCTTAAATACAAGCGGTAAGTCTGCCAGTAATCGCGAGGATACCTACAATAGCCTTCTGTCAACAATTAGGTAAAGGCCAGAACTCTGATACTTTGCTCCACAGTGTGTGTTTCATGTCGAGCGTGGTCGGGA